AATAGTAGTAGTAGTAGTAGTAGTAGTAGTAGTAGTAGTAGTTGTAGCAGTAGTAGTTGTAGCAGTAGTAGTGGTAGCAGTAGTAGCAGAAGCAGTAGCAGTAGCAGTAGCAGTAGCAGTAGCAGTAGCAGTAGCAGTAGCAGTAGTAGTAGTAGTAGTAGTAGTAGTAGTAGTAGTAGTAGTAGTAGTAGTAGTAGTTGCGGATTAGAGTGAGGGGGTGGCGGGGACGTCGGCAGTCTGCGAGGCTCTGCCCGTCGCAGGCGCCGATTTTTCTGTCATAACAAATATGGGTGGGTCGCGGGTTGGATCGCAGGTGGGTCGCGGGTGGGCCGACGGTGGGTCGCGGGCCAGGTCGCGGGCCAGGTCGCGGGTGGTTCGCGGGTGGGGCCCGGGTGGGTCGCGGGTGGGTCGCGAGCGGGGTCGCGGGGTGGGTCGCGGGTGGGTCGCGGACCGGGTCGCGGGTGGGTCGCGGGTGGGTCGCGGGCCGGGTCGCGGGGGGGACGACGCAACAAAACAAGCAGAATTCTCGCCGTGGACGCCACGCATCCAGGGACAGTGAATGACCGTTCGGTCCCCTCACTCTGATAATAATGATAATAAGCGGGGTCGTAGTGATGGTAACATAAGGGTGAGCAGAAGGAGGAGGAAGAGGAGGAGGAGGAGGAGGAGGAGGAAGAGGAGCATGACGTTTAGTGCAATTTTCAGCGTTTCCGTCGGAAGGATGAGATAACATATATGATTATGATGACGATGATGATGATGCGGAGGAGAAGGATGGGAAGGAGTTGGAGGAGGAAGAGGTGAGTGAGGTGGAGGGGGGGGCGGCGGAATAGTAGGAGTACCACGGGCGCCGCGCTCCCCACTTCGGAGAGTAGCACGCGGCAGAGTTCAGCAACGTCTCGGCACCCGTGCTGCTAGCCGCTGTGTCTGAGGGCATGTGTGCTGGCAGGGGGGCTGAGGACGGCGCGGCTGATGATGCCGATGCCGATGCGCATGCTGCTGCTGATACTGCTGTTGGGGCTGCTGCTGATGATGACGACGACGGCGATAAGCTGGGCAATCTTGGGGTTTCGGCCTGTCCTACGTAGCGTGTGGGGTTCAAGGGGGGGCCTTGTAGGGGATTGTTTTGAAGTTTTTCGTGGTCTTATGTGAGTTTCTTGGGGCCTTCACGGGGCCTGTCCCAGGCCTCCTTTTCCACCTCCTGGATAGGCTCGGGGATCGTTGAGACCCAGCTGGGATTGCGTCCAGCCAGAAGTTCGAGAGTGGACCCAGCTGTATCGACGATGAGCTTCCTGAGGGCCCAGAGGGGGCGGAGAGCGCCCAAGAACTAGGAGTCTCATGCCTCGAGCCTCGATCCACCCTGTGTTCCTTCCTTTGCGAAGGGGTGGCACCTGCCAGGGAGGTCGATCCTCATCCCAGACTTTCGGCGGTGGTCCCCGGCACCGAAAATGGTTCCTGGAGGCTGATTTCGAGGAGATGCCTCGGGTGGTCGAAAGACCACGAACATTTGTGCGACATCGGCGGCGACGACGAAACCTTCTCGTTTTTTTCCTATTCCTCCTCTTCCTCCTCCTCGTCCTTCTCTTTTTCTTCTTCTTCTTCTCGGTCGAGGTAGATGCCCGCGGCAGTTCATACATGTATTATATAAGGTATATATAGTTTTTATATATACACGTTATACAGTGTATCATATATTATATAGTATTTTTATTATATATATATATATTCTCTCTCTCTTCCTCCGGTTTTTCTTTCCCTATATTATATATGTATATATATATATTTTATATTATTTATATATATATATATATTATATTTATGTATATATATATATATATCGAAGACGCCTACGGCGAATCACCGCCGCCCCCTGCCTTTTTGGAAGCGCCTATGTGGCCGAAGGTTGTGGCCAGAGGCCTGCCAAGCTATCGGACCATGTGTTCCCCGAATCGGTTTGGAAAGCCTTCGGGGAACACGTGGGCATCTTGAAGGTCATCTTGGCCGTCTGGAGGCCATTATGACCCTTTCGGGTCTTCTTGGAGCACGTCTTGGAGGGCTCTTGGGCCGTCTTGGAGGCTATCTTGAGCGTCTTGGAGACCTCTTGGGCCGTCTTGGGGGCCCCTTGGGGCTGTGTCTTGGGCCTCTTGGGCGATCTTTGTGGGCACTTGGGCCGTCTCGGGCCGTCGGAAGGCAGAAAAACATGCAAATGCCACCATCCTTCAAACGCCAATGGGGAAATCAATGATTTTGGCCTTTTCGGGCCTTCCTGGAGGCCCTCTTGGAGGCCTCTTGGGCCGTCTTGGGCCATCTTAGGGCCATGTTCGGCCGTCTTGGTGGGCTCCTGGTCCGTCTGACGCCGTCGGAAGCCGTTTGGGGGGCCTCTATGGGCCGACTTGGGGCCCTCTTGGAATGCTCCAGGGCCGTCTTGGAGGCCATCTTGGGCGTCTTAAAGGCCTCCCGTGCCGTCTTGGGGGCCTCTTGGGGCCGTCTTGGGGCCCTCTTGGGCCGTTCTGGGGCCATCTTGGAGGCCTCTTGGGCGATCTTTCGGCGATCTTTGGGGGCTCTTGGGCCGTTTTGGGCCGTCGGAAGGCCGAAAAGAAGCAAATGTCAAAATCCGTCAAATACCTTAGGACAATCAATGTTTTTGGCCTCTTCTGGCCTTCCTGGAGGCCTTCTTTGGGCCGTCTTGGGCCAGCTTTGAGCCAACTCCGGCCATCTTGGTGGGTTCCTGGCACGTCTGACGCCGTCGGGAGCCGTCTTGTGGGCCTTTCTGGGCCGACTTGGGTCGTCTTGGGGCGCTTCGGGGCCGTCTTGGAGGCCATCTTTGGGGGCCTTTCTGGGCCGAGTTGGGGCCGTCTTGGGGCGCTTCGGGGCCGTCTTGGAGGCCATCTTGGGCGTCTTGGAGGCCATCTTGGGCGTGTTGGAGGCCTCCTGGGCCGTCTTGGGGCCCTCTTGGGGCCGTCTTGGAGGCAGTCATGGGGCCCTTTCGGGGGCCTCTTGGGCGACCTTGGGGGCCTCTTTGGCCGTCTTGGGCCGTCGGAAAGCCGAAAAGGCGCAAATGCGAAAATCTTTCAAAAACCTAAGGACATTCAATGATTTTGGCCTCTTCGGGCCTTCCTGGAGGACCTCTTGGAGGCCTCTTGGGCCGTCTTGGAGGCCTCTTGGGAGCCTCTTGGGCCGTTTTGGGCCATCTTGAGGCCATCTTAGGCCGTCTTGGGTGCATCTTGGGCCATTTTGGAGGCATCTTGGGGCCATCTTAGCCGTCTTGGAGGCTATCTTGGCCATCTTGGCCGCCATCTTGAGCCGTCTTGGAGGATTTTTTCGGGACGTTCGGGTCCTGGATGGTCCTCCCGGGACCCTGGCGGGACGGGTCGAAGCGCCAGGGGAAGTTCTTTTGGAAAAAGAACCACAACCAAAACCGAAAGGGTCCAGCACGCCAGGCACCCCTGCGATGAATCGACATGGGGGCGGCGGAAATAGTGGCCTTCGGCCCATCCCGCAACCGCGCCTTGGTTGTCGTCCTGAGATTCTTGGTGCCTGGGCTGCGGGTTAGAAGTTGCATGCCTCAAGTGGTACTTGGGGCTTTTTTTTTGAGCTTCTTGGCGGCCTCTTGGGGCCTCTTGGGTGGCCTCTTGGCGTCCTCTTGGGGCCTCTTGGGGGGCCTCTTGGGGGCCCCTCGGGCCTTGTTGAGCGCCTCTTGGGCCCTGGGGCCGTTTTGGGGCGGAAGGCTCGGATTGTTGATTCAGGCTCCTCCTCTTGGGCCCCTCATTGGGCCATCTTGGGGCACTCTGAGTACTCTTGGGCCGTTTTGGGAGCCTCTTGGGCCTTCTTGGCGCCCTCTTGGGCCGTTTCGAGCGCCTCTTGGGAACTTGTCGGGCTGTTTTGGGGCAGTCTTGGGGGACCCTGGGGCCGTCTTCAACGCCGTGAAGGCCGAAAAAACGTGCATGATACAAATGTAGGTTTCCCCATAGGAATTCGACGATTTTGGCCTCTTGGGTCCCTCTTGGGGATGCTCTTGGAGGCTTCCTGGGCCGTCTGGGAGGCTTCTGGGGCCGTCTTGGGGCCATCCTGGGCGTCGGGGCCCTCTTGGACCGTCTTGGGGGCTTCTTGGGCGGCCCCAGAAGCTGTCGTGGACCTCCAAGAGGAGCACGGGAAGGGCCGGACAACCCCCTGGTGAGTTCCGGCCGGATGGCCCCCCCCTTCCAAATCGACCAGATCGGGCTCTTGGGGGAGGGGTTTGGGGAGGGGGAAGCATCTCACACGCCGATGATCCCCAAGGGGTCGGCGGATTTTCTCCAGCTGCACGCGGCAACTGACTTCCGAGATCGGTTAGGGGCCTTTTGTGCGTGCTGTTGTATGTGCTTCAGGGAAAAAGCGACCGATGCAATATCTTTCGATAGCCCCAGCTATTTGAAGGTCGATCATGTATGCAGGCGCTCATCGTGCAGTGGTTTGGTACAAGGCGGTAAGAAGAAGAAGAGGGTGCCAGTGATCATTTTTGGTCGTTTCGGCTCGAGGAGTTCAGGATCCTGCGTGGCGTCCCATGTACACCTGCGCAAGTGCTGCCCCGTGGCATGAAGACCACTGGGGTTCCGCTCTCTGACTTCTGTTTCGCAGGGCAGGGATACAAAAACATATGTTGGAAGCGGAGATGCTAGTCAATGTCAATTTCCAGGGGGGCTGCGCCTCTCGTTGCGTACGTGGTAAGCTCCAGGCTTGCTGGGTTTTCAGACCTTGAGACCTGGGTGTTTCAGTAAGCGCCATTCCAAGAAGTTCCTCCTCAGCGCAAATTATCGCAGTCGACCCAGACGGTACCATCTTGTCAGTGCAGGTTTTGCCTCTGCACAGGCAGCCTTGACGAGGGAAGGAAGGTTGGCCTCAGAATTCCCTTAGAGGGCCATTGCCCGAGTTGCCCTCCCCAGATCGTGATCCCTCCAGGTCGTGATCCCCATCCAGACAGCGCCTCATCAGCACCCTGGCCCCTTTCTCCCAGTGCCCCACATGTGGTGTCTGAGGTGATCGAGCCTTACAGGCGCTAGTCAGTCTTTGCACTTCTTGAAACCCGCCCCGTTTCTATTTTGGACAACGTTGTCGAGCCTGATCCCCGCTTCCACATAATCGCGTAAAGAGGGGATAAGGCGGCGCAGGAGGAAGAGGGGGACGAGATGTAGCTGCTCCTGCTCCCTCTCCTGCCTTGGCTCCTCTTCTTCCTTTTGCGTCGTCATCATCCTTTTCCTTCTCCTCCCTTGTCCTGCTGCTGCTCCTTCTCAGCCTCCTGCCGCTGCTCCTGCTGCTCCTGCTGCTCCTTCTGCTGCCACTCATGCTGCTCCAACTGCTGCCGCTCTTGCTTCCGAGCCCGCTTCTGCTCTTGCTACTCCTGTTGTTTCTGCTTCTGATGTTCCTGCCCCTTCTCCCTGCCACTTGTCCTGGTCGTTGTGGTGGTGCGCGCCTATGTGTTTGTGCGTGCTGCCTGCCTTGCCACTCGCCCTTTGCGGTCCCGCCTGGGCCGCCGCCATCGTGCCTCGCCTTGTGTCGCCTGCACTGTCAGTACTTGTCGTTCGGCACATCCTCGTCCTTTCCCTTCTTCTCTCCCCCCGCATCCCTACCCATGGTTTGCGAACTGAGTGGGCGGGCCGCGTGCGTTTCCCGCTGCTCGCTCTTCGACATTCTACGCCTCGACGCTGCGCACGAGACCGCGACGCCAAAAAGTGCGTGCTGCTGCTGGTGTGGTTGCTTCAGTGCTGCCGTTGCCACTCCTCCTGGTCCTGCTATTGATGCTGCTGCTGCGGCTGCTGCTGCTCCTTGGAGTCGTCCTGCTCCCCCCTCCTGTCCCTGGCTCCCTCCAACCCTCCCCAACCCGTATGCTCTTCTTGCTCCTCCCGCTTCTCCCTGCACCATGTCCGTTCTTCAGAAGGGCATCCCGCGGGGTGCCAAAGTTGGGAACGGGGGGACGGCGGCTGGGGGCGGGGGCGAATTCAGGATCTCCCTTGGCTCTGTGCTGTCCCTCCTCCCTCCTCCGAGCTTCGGCGTCGCCAGCCAGCATGGTTTGATCTGATGTCTTCTGTTTTGGGTTATGAGTTCACGTCATCCGGACCCCTGGCGCGCCAGGAAATGAGGCGCCCAGTCGCGCCTCTTAACGTTGTTTCAAGGAATTCGGCGAAGCGCGGATTCCCAAAAAGTCTTCGTAACAGTCGCCTGGGAGTTCCTCGCAAACTCGGCTCCGAGCTCCTCTAAAGAAGGCCCAAACGCAGGCTCTGTCCCCCCCGCCTTCTCAAGTGTTATTTAATCGCTTCGCTCATTCCGCCGGCCCTGGAGCGCTATTTGGGGCCTCTTGGGGCCGTCTTGGGGGCTTCTTGGGGGCTTCTTGGGAGCGTCTTGGGGCTCCTTGGCGGCGTATTGGGCTCCCCTGGGGCCTCTTGGGGGGCTCTAGGGGGCCCCTTGGGGCGGGAGGGGAGGTAGTCGTTGGCAGCCCCCCCCCCGGAGGCCACGATCCTCGTGAGGATTGGCGAAAAATAGCCTCCTCTCTGGGGATCGCCCGGGGGTCAGCCGGGGATCGGCCGGGGTACTTTTCGTCCAGGGCCTCCCAGGAGCCGCCCCGCGCGCGAACTAGAAATATTGTTAAGTAGTTACCGGAGATCTTAGCACGCCTCTGGCCCGTTTGGCCGGCGAATTCACTGGGGAACGCTCCGAGGGCGAGCAGCATGATGAAGTAGGACGAGGGGGGAGCAGGAAAACGGGGTGGAAAGGAATAGTGGGAAGGATGAGGAGGAATGGGAGGAGGAAGACGAGGAGGCGGAGGGGGCGGAGGAGGAGGAGGAGGAGGA